TACTGTGGATTGACTGATGGCTTGCTGCTTTGGGAAGCTTCCTAAACTGGGAACAGACTCCTTGCGTAAGTACCACAGCACCATCTGGTGGTTGACCTGAGAAGCTGCACTTTTGAATTTCTACTTTATTTAAAAAAACACAAAAAACAGAAACAAAACAAAAAGCCCTGGTCTATTAAAATAAATATAAAATGAGTAAAGAAGTGCCTGTTATACTTTAAGAATAGCTCTCAGCCTCTTGTCCATGAACATACAATTAGGAAACCAATGACAAAAAATTGAAGAATTTAAATCTAAGATTTTTAAAAAATCCTCCTTAATATAGGACCTGATACCCAAAGGTAGAGTTATGGGTCTGTCTGGCTATGAGGTGGAGTGAAAAGAACTCATATCCGCATCTGATTCCATCTCAGGCCTCCATGCAAAGTTATCATGTCACTGGAAAGTCACATTCTTTTTTGGCAATTGGGACTTTTTATATACTTGTCTTCCTACCTTCCCGTTAACTAAAGGTTGCTAAATTCTTGGCCATTCTGGCTGCTTAACTAAGCTTCTGGAGGTGGGTCTATCACTGGGAAATGGGCACATCTCTGTTTGATTCAAAGCCCATCCCTATTCTGGCCCATGACCAACCTCAAAAAGAAACGAGACCATTTTCTCAGAGTGGCATGTCGGTGACTAGCAACAACAGCATTATCACAACATGTGTGTTCACTGGAGCTAGTGAGGCTGTACAGAACATCTGCACAGGGTCAGCCTTTTTGTCCAATGTCATTCCTTACATGATGATGGGCACTACTGTTTGCTGTCTGTTTGATCTTCTCAAAAAAAAACATGGCAGCAATGAGGTCATCCAAAGCAAAGCAGAACATGTTGGTAGTGTCAGTCCAGGAACAGGACCAAATGCTCAGAGTATCAGAATAGGAAGAGTTGAGAGAAGTAAGAACACTTGAGATGTGAAAAGTGGTACAGGATGGCTGGTGGGTTTGGTTGTGTCCTTTGTTCCTGAGTACCCACATGCCACAAGAACCCACATGCCTGTTCCTCAAAAGACTGAAGCTTCTGTGACAGATGGAAGTTTGGATTTCCTTAAAGCAGCAAGGGACTTAAAAATCATCAGTGCCCTGGGGCGCCTGGGTGGCTCAGTTGGTTGAGTGTCCAGCTTCAGCTCAGGTCATGACCTAGCAGTCTGTGAGTTTGAGCCCCGCATCAGGCTCTGTGCCGACAGCTCAGAGCATGGAGCCGGCTTCGGATTCTGTGTCTCCCCCTCCCACTCTGCCCCTCCCCTGATCATTCTCTCTCTCTTTCTCTCTCTCTCAAAAATAGGTAAACATTAAAAAAATAATAATCACTGCCCTGTCTTGGCAGGTGAGGATACTGCTGCAGAGTCACTTGTTCAGGGTCATGCAGATGATGGCATAATTGGAATTTGGAACTTGAATCTGAATCTTTCCAGAGTTCTTTTAAGCATTCTTGTTTTCTCATTTCTTTTAAGGGAGACACACTTTCATGTTTCTGCGTGTGTGTGTGTGTATGTGTTTGAATTTCCTGCCTCTCTCATCTTCCTTGTTTTCATCTCTAGACATCTTCTTGAATCTAAGAAAAACATAAAATGGAAAAAATCGTATTCTGTGTTTAGATACGATTTGGGATCTTGACTTCATTTTGATTGGACCAGATAATTATGAGATGAAAAACAAAAGAATTCAAGGGAATTACCTTTTTTAATCATAATGTAGCACAACTTCTCTTGGGTCAGCTGGAGAGCACATTTCCAAGGGCATTTTGCAGGTTTAAGTGTGTCTCCATGAGTAAACCAAGCAATGCTTCACGCCCCCCCCCCCGCCCCCCCAATGGCTGTCCCACTGCAGGGATCACCGAAGGTGTCATTTCAATGCAATTGAAGACAACTTCCCACACTAGAATTATTGATGTGATTCAGGACGATCAGTATGTAGTCCTTCAAACACAATTTTTAAAACACCTTCTTATGTGTTGGTCGTGTGTGGAGCTACTGCAGAGAGAAAGAAGGGTCAATTTAAAATAGCAGTCTAAAGATAGATCAAACATTTTCCTTTGGTGGAAAGGATATACATCTATAGACATTCTTTTTTTCATTTTTTAAATGTTTTTTTAATTTATTTTTGAGAGAGAGAGAGAGCATGCGAATTGGGGAGGGATAAAGAGAAAGGGAGACAGAATCTGAAGCAGGCTCCAGGCTCTGAGCTGTCAGCACAGAGCCCCACAGGGGGCCCAAACCCACAAACTATGAGATCATGACCTGAGCTGAAGTTGGATGGTTAACAGACGGAGCCACTCAGGTGCCTTCATCTATAAAAGTTCTTAATCGGATTTTCTTTCTTTTTTTTTAAAAATAGTTTATTGTCAAGTTGGTTTCCATATAACACCCAGTGCTCATCCCTACAAGTGCCCTCCTCCTTGCCCATCACCCCCCTTCCCCTCTCCGCCACCCCCATCAGCCCTCAGTTTGTTTTTGGCATTCAAGAGTCTCTCATGGTTTGCCTCCCTCCCTCTCTCCAACTATTTTTCCCCTTCTTCTCCCCTTAATCGGATTTTCAAAACTAGAATTAGCTCCTAAGTCTATATCAGAATCCAAGTTGCTTCTTTAAAGGGATAACCTTCTAAGAAATGGTAATGACAATTCTTTTAGAGATTACACCTTAGCATTGTTCGATTTAGTAATACTACCCTCCCCCTCCGACACACACATGCATGCACACACAAACACATGCTTTCTAAAAATTTCATTTGGGGCACCTGGGTGGCTCAGTTGTAGGTGTCTGACTTCAGCTCAGGTCATGATCTCATGGTTCATGAGCTGGAGCCCCGTATTGAGCTCTTATTACAGAGCCTGCTTCAGATCATCTGTCTGTCTGTCTGTCTCTCTTCCTTTTCCTTTGCTCTTTCTCTCTCTCAAAAATAAATAAAAATAAACATATTAAAGAACCTATAAAAATTTTATTTAAATCCTTAAAAGTCAACTCGATTCTGGAATGAGAATTATTTGAGATTCCTTGAGATTATTATTTTTTAAATTTATTTATTTTGAGAGAGAGGGCAGGGAGGGGCAGAGAGAGGGAGAGAGAGAGAATCCCAAGTATGCTCTGCACTGCCAGTGCAGAGCCCAGTGCTGGCCTTGGACACACGAACTGGGAGGTCATGACCTGAGCCAAAGTCAGAGGCTTAACCGATGCCCCTTCTTGGGATGATCATTAACATAAAGCTAAGAAAAGAAACACCGTTGTAGACACTACTATTGTGTACTGTTACAGGCTTTGAAAATTCTGTCAGATGTAAATGAATTGCCTTTTACTTTACATAAATACAAAGTCTTTTCCAAGAGAATGCAAAAGCATAAAACCAGGCTTCCAAGTCAGCACAGTTAACTCATTCCAAAAAGACACCTCTCCCCTCAGGTGTCCCTTTTAGTAAGATGCCCCACTGTTGGCTCCACAGTTCCTGAGACCCAGGAAGCTTCTTGGGCATCTACTCTAATCCCCCACACACTCGCTTAAGCTCTTCTCAGAGAACAGCTAACAGTTTTTACAATGTTCTTGTGTATATTTAACTGTTATCAAGCCTTTTCTCATCCCTCCATTCTTCAGGCTATGCAAACCAATATGTATAGTAAAGATTTTATTTCTCATGAGACTTACGGCCTCTATAAGTCATTCTGATGAAATGTCCATTTCAATTTAATCTCCATATTGCAGGCCCTAAGCAAGACCCCATACTCTCACCAAAGCAAAAATGATATTTCATATGGTGGGAGGTGAATTTGTAGTCTCTCCACATAAGAGACTCACTCCTGTTTTTATGTAGTAGCAGCAGCAGATTTGCTCATTTGTGATATTCTGTCAGCTGTCCCCTCCATAATTTATTTCTTTACATTACTTGTGAAAATCCCCCTCTTCCCAGTGCCAGATTCTCAGAGAAGGTATCTGATAAAAAAAAATTTTAATATCTTCTGGCCATGCCATCATCACAGAATCTTGTTTTTAATGCTTAATGGAGATAGTTCTTTAGTAGGGTTGTGAAGACAGGGGTTATCATACCAGCACTGCTTTATAATAGCAATGACATGGGGCACCTGATTGACTCAGTTGGCTAAGTGTCACACTTAGACTCAGGTCATGATCTCAGGGTTTGTGAGTTCGAACCCTGCTTTGGGCTCTCTGCTCTCTGCAGAGTCCACTTTTGGATCCTTTGTCCCTCCCTCTTTCTGCCCCTCCCCTGCTCACACATGCTCTAAAAATTAAAAAATTAAAAAAAAAATAGCAATGACAAGGGCACCTGGATGACTCAGTCAGTTAAGCATCTGACTTCGGCTCAGGTCATGCTCTCGTGGTTCATGAGTTCGAGTCCCAAGTCAGGCTCTGTGCTGACAGCTTGGAGCCTGGAGCCTGCTTAGATTCTGTGCCTCCTTCTCTCTCTACCTCTACCCTCCCCCCCCAAATAAATGAATGTTAAAAAATTTTTTAAAAATAGCAATGACAAGGCAAAGGGGTATTATAAAGCTCCTGCCTTCACCAGCAGCTCATTCCCCCACTTTGAGGGAGGGGAGGAGATTTGAAAAGTTATATTTTTGCAAAGACAACAGCACAAGCCTCATCTTCCTGTCAAATTGCTGCCCTCAACATCTCCGGTATTGAATTCTAGAGCTAACATTGAACATGAGTCATGTTATTGGTTAGGATCAATCTGGTTTTATGAAAATGCGGGCCCCCAAAAACCTGTCTGGAGACCAAAATCTGTCAGTGTTTTGACATATTTAAATGTAAACCATGAATGTTATTTTTCTCTTTGATGCAAATGATATATGAGGTATTCATTTCTGCTGTTTCAGAGCTGAAGAGAGCTTATAAACCTACTCCCTTTTCTTCAAGCACCAGTTCATGTTCTGGAAATATTTTGACTTTGTTATAACCTTTTTCTTGTTGAAAATTTATTACAGTTTCTTTCTGTTCGTTCACTTGCAGCCTGCCACATATTGGAATGCCGCAGTGGAATGGCCCAAGATGTCATCAGCACCATAGGGCAGGCTTTTGAACTCCGGTTTAAACAGTATTTGAAAAATCCTTCTTTGAACACTTCTTGTGAAAGGTCAGCCAAGAGTTCTATAATTATTTGACTTGCTATATTTATTTTGCTTTATTTTCAAATTCATATGGCATTTTCAAACTGACCAATGAAATTAGTATTTTTTTTTTCTTACAAATAGGCAGTTTTGGTACAAACTAATAATAACATTTTCTATTTTTCTTCCTCTTATATTTGTCCAGACGTTTCCTCTTGCTTTATATCAGAATTAAAGGGGACACTCTAAGAAGGGGTCTGCCCTATTTCTCTGATCTCATACAGAGCTATGAATTAATTAAGTAGTATCATAAAATAATAGATGTCACATGTCTCAGAATTGTTTCAATCCCAGATCCCTTGCATACCACTAAAAAAAAATCAAGGGGCCCCTGGGTGGCTCAATTGGTTAAACTGCCAACTTTGGCTCAGGACATGATCTCACGGTTCATTAGTTCAAGCCCCCCATCGGGCTCTGTCCTGACAGCTTGGAGCCTGGAACGTGCTTCAGATTCTATGTTTCTCTCTGCCCCTTCCCTTCCCTCTCATGCTCTATCTCTCTCTCGCTCTCGCTCTCTCAAATATATTAAAAAAACATTAAAAAATTTTTTAATAAAATTTAAAAACTCAAGAATGAAGAGTGAAATAGTAAGTAAGAATCAAATGTCTGTAGCAGGGGTCGCTGTTAGTTTGCTAGTTTGTGATGTGCACAGATGAGCCCCAGTTAAACTGTGGCAGTGCTGACAGGTGATGTGGCCCAAGGGTCTGGTTGCTCTATGTGAGGCACAGAAAGTCTGCGAGAAAAGCCAAGCCCTTCAGGCCTGACAGACTCCAGCAGTGTGGAGTGCAGTAAGCAGAATTCATCCCCAGGGCCCAAAACTATTGGGTACTTTATTGCACCCCTCCCGTAGTTAGTTATTTTGTATACCAACAAACACTGGGTTTGGGGATCTCCCTTTGTAAGGTGGTCTGGGGTAGCAAAGCAGAGGGGGTTACTAGGAGGCCTTGAGGTTGAATTTTTCCCAGGATAACACTTATATTTTAGTGCTGTCGTTTTGTTGACATGTAATGAACCCAACAGTACTGTGTGGGTTGTCAGTGGAATCAATTCAATCCAAAAGGACTTGATTTATTCTTTTCCTAAGAAACTTCTACTAATTCCAATTTGGAAGAAAAGTTGTTTGTTTGTTTGTTTTTCCTGCACTGTTTCAATTTTTAAGACAATGAATGTTTACATAAATCTATCCACTTGCCACATATGGTTCTAATATTTCTTTATGAATCCTGTGCACTCCTCCAGATTTGTACAGACGAGATAGCTGGCCATAGCTCTCTTGTTTTTTTCATCTTGGTTTCACAAACTGGGCCAGGCCCTCTGCCCAATATCTGATTTTTTTTTTTGAGCAAAACATTTCCAAAATGGTACAATCAAAGCATGCTGAAGATACTCAGGGAAACTTTATTTTTGTATCCTGCTGACAAAGATGACTTACATTCAGGGAGTTCGTGTGTGTGTGTGTGTGTGAGTGTGTGTGTGTGTGTGTTGCTTAATCTTTGGGAGGAGACACAAAAGCAACACCCTTGGCACTTTCCATTGGCTTACCCCACTTTAATTGTCTACGGAAAGCTAAACAACTCAACCATCTGGTTGCTTCCATCCAGCTGTTTGACATCACTTAAGCACAGCTATAAATTTAAAACATGAATGCAAACTTTTTTCAGGATGATTTGCATGGTTCTGATCCCTCTGCCTCCCCTGCAGCACTTGAGTTCCCACCCAGCCTCCTGGGGATTCTTTTTTCCCTTACAGTGAGGAAGTGCCTCTTGACGGTCCTGCTGCGGAGAGAGAAGATCATGAGTATTACAATGAAATCCCAGGGAAGCAGCCACCTGCAGGTGGTGTTTCAGATGTGCGGATCAAAGTCCAAGCCACAGAACAGACGGCCTACTGCCCCATACGATGTGAAAAGTTGTGCTATTTGGTAAGTAATGTTTTATGGTTACCAGAATTTAGCAATGTGATTCTGTCCTTGACACTGGAGAGTTTAATTTGAGTTTCCAAATGCTAGTTTAGAGAAAGTATCTTCCTCAGTACCGAGCCAGAGAATGAATCATTGTTGGAGCCTGCACTAGACCGTTTTTACTCCAAATCCTCACCCCTACCCCCCATCCCCCACCCCTGCCTAAGTGGATGACTTCATATCTCCTTTCACTGGGAAGATGAGGGCGGTCCAACATGTTACATTCAACTTCACCTTTCCTCGTCTCCAAGCCTTCCTGTATTCTCCTTGCTTCTCGCCCTTAGCTCCTGCCTTCACAGCTAGTCCTTCCCCTGAACTCCTGATCCCATCCCCACCTTCCAACTCTCTGCCCTTGTTCTGTCTATCAGCCCCTGTCTCAATCTTTATTTTCTCTTTGTCTACTGGTTATCTTCTGTCTGTAAATAAATCTGTAAATAAAAAAAAACTTATAATGTCTCACCTCCTTTTACTCACAAACTTCTAGAAACCACTGTCTCCTTCCCAGTTTTTGCATCAACACTGCACCTCTAGGATCTGAATTCTTCTTGACAACTTGATAGAAATTACTTTTACAATGGTCAAAAGTGGTTTTTTGATCACCAATGGCTTCATGGTTAAATCAATTTTCTTCTTCAACTTTCTGAATCTGTCTACAGAATTTGATACCTGTTGTCTGCCTCTCCCTTGTTTTTACACCTTCTCTTAGTTTCTAAAGCAGCTCTATTGTGTCATTCTAAGCCCCTATTTCTAGTTGCTTCTTTTTTCTTATTTTCATGTTTTCCAACATTTTATTATGAATGTTTTCAAACATACAGAAAAGTCGAAAGAATTATACAGTGAACATTCATATACTCACAATCTAGAGTCTACAATTACCATTTTACTAAATTTGCCCTGTCATCTTAGAGAGCTGTTTCAAAGTAAGTTACATCTTTTCTTCTTGTATTTTATTTTCTTCCACCCACTCCCCTTCAAACCCTACCCCCTGCCACCCTTACCACAATTGCTCTGCCCTTGGCCTTGGCCTTGGTTTCTCCTCTGGCATGCCACCTGTGTACACACTCTTGCAGCTTCTCTGTCTTCAGCTATTACCATCTCTCCAGCTGTAATGCCATAAGCATTACATTACTTGTTTATGTTAAGATTGCACTCAGCATTTTCTCCTTGATTCCAAACCAGATTCCTCTACTGACTTACTCATGTTTCATTAATGACACCACTACTGTTTCATTAATCTGTAGTCTTTTGTTTCTCTCACACTTTGGACTCCATATCAACTCAGTTTTCAAGACTGAAGATTCTACCATGAAATCTTTTGATAGGATTTACCAAACCTCTTACATTCCTATTGCACCTTTCTAAGTTCTGGCTTTCATGTGCCCAGATGATTCCAAAACCCCTTTCCTTGTATCCAGTTTCATTACCTCAATCTCTTCTGCATGGTATTGCCAGATTAATCTTTCTAAAGGACAGACGTTGCCCTTCTCAAAGGCATCAGTGATCCCATTCTATTATTGAATATGTGTAAGTATATATATATATACTTATCAATGCAACCCTTTGATGGATGAGATTTTTAAGGATGAAAAGTGAGGCTGGCACAAACCTCCTCAGAGTAGGCCTTCAGTCTGCCAATGCACTGTTAGATAGAGGCTTGCTAAATACTGAGAGTTTATACAAGTGTCCTGGAAATCACACTTTCACACTTGCTGGCTGAGTCTTGGATTGAGTTCTGGAATGGGACCTCCCTAGCAAAAGCTGTGACGCTCAGGATGCGGGCCTTACACTGCAGCCTTTAAAACCACTCCCGCATCAGACCCACCTCTGCAGCCCCCACACAACACACTATCATAGGAGTCTATGCTCCCCACGCAAAATCTCACCTTCCTTGTGTTACCTGTCAGACACTAACTATGTCAGAAAGTGGAGCTGTCTGCTTTATTCTTCTGGGAGCATTATTATTGTTTTGTTTGTCTTTTTATGATTGTATACCATGTTTGTAAATGTCTCACAATTTGTTGTTCATGCAGCCTGGAAACTCCAAATGCAGCAGTGTGTACGAGAACTGTTTAGAACAAAGCAGGGCAATAGGTAGGTACAATTTTCCTTCCCCATCTGCCACTCTCCTTGTTCCTTGTAAGTCATATGGTTGTGTGTGGTCCTCACTATGAAATACTTCATGGGAAAGTCAGGTGTACACGACCAAACACATAATGCTTCAGCCGTGGGCGTCCCACATTCTGAGAGGCCCAGAATGCACGTGTGTGTCACTTGGGAGACTCGTGGCTTCCCCTCGCTCTTGTGTGCTCCACCACACTTGTCATTCTACCTCCTGAGGTCTTTAACTGCTTTAAAATCATGAAAAGTCTCTCTGGAAAGGTGCTTTCTCTGCTTAAAACTCAAGGGAGCTCCACTTCAAAGAAGATCAGACATTAAGCTAATGTGAAAATTGATGCTTGTCAAATCCATTAGGATTAAGATAAAACCCTTTTTGTCTGCTTGGCATAGAAAACAAAAAGAAATCTGAAATGTGAGAGTCCCAATTAGGGGCCCACCTACCCCATACTTCCCAGGGCATTCAATGTCTTACTACTGGATGCAATAATTGATGTTGGGCACAACTTTTCCACAATGCAAATGTGGAACATCAACTATCAGATTGAAAGAATGTTTTCATAAAATTTGCTATTAGTCATTTAATTCTTTTAAATTGTTGAAAGTACTTACTTCTTTGGAAAGCAAAGTTTTTGCAGCACTAGAGGAGTGGATAAGTGGATGATATAAATAATACTGCGGAGGATAAAGTTAGATAACCACACTTAGGGACTCAGATTAAATTAGTAGGAACTTTCCACTTGGAAGGTAGTCACTTCTAAAGATACTTTCATACTTCTTATGGAATTATGCCAATGTAATCTATTCACTTTACTATTTCTTATACACAGGGGATACATGAGGATTTGTCCTTTTAGGTATAGCTATGATTACTACCTTCCTCTACCATGTAAAAATAGTAGGAGTAGTGAACTAAGACAGTATTGTGAATTCTTTAAACATATGGTTCATTTGATAGACATTAAATTTTCTTGCCATACTTTAAAGTTACTTAGAATTTTAACCTAACTGTTAGTAATATGACTAAAACAAATTAATGCTAAGTATAAATGTGTTTTTACAACTATGCTTCCTAAGAGCTGTATTCCTTCCTCTTTCCCTTTCCCTCCTTTTCCTTAATTGGAAATCCCTAACCTAAGGATTTAAAAGTCAGGAACCTACCACATGTGCCCTGTAATATAATCATTTTGTACCTGTGTGGATGCTCACTTGGAAATATCTCCACATGCTCTTTGATCTCATTCTCTATTCTTCATTTATTTAACACGTCACTCTGACTACAGGACCTCTTTGGAGTCTGGTGCTGTGCTATGGAGCAGGGATGGAATGACAGCTAGTATTCATATTATCTGTAGTTTAGCCAGGAAGATACACCACAATCAAATGCTTACAAATAGGATGGGTGTTTCAAAGCCCAAGATATATGGAAATGAGTAAGAGGGAAACCTAACATAATCTGAGTGGCTCAAGAGGGTCTCCCTAAAATTACCTCTACAACAAAACAACCAAACCATGTGCTTGCTTTGGCAGCACATATACAAAACAACTAAACCAAGACCTGAGGGATGAATGGGAATTACCCAGACACAGAGAAGAAAAGTATAAAGTATAAATGGGAACCAGAATTCCTGATGTGCTGGGACCACTTCCCAGATGACTGCACAGAGAGAGTATAGGAGTAAGACAGAGGAGTCTTGGACCTAGGATAGAGTCCTAAGGAACATTTCTGAAGGAATTAATGGATATAGAGGGATTGTTTCCATCTTATTCAAGATATTTCTTTTTCTAAGTGTAACCTTGTCATAGAATCCAGTTTATTGTTTCTGTTTATCTTGGTTTCATTTCTCCTTTAAATTAACAAACAATGTAACCCCTTATTCTTTCGTGGTTTCTATATGCACTAAGCCAATATAAGCAGATTCAAACGATGAACAGACTTTTGTGATAAACCTTCATTTGGAGCCTGGAATATATTTTTCTAGAATTAATTTTAGCCATGATGGCTGTCTCCTAGACAAGTACACCATGTTCTACTGCTCTGGTTTGCCAGTATTGGAACTTAAATGTATATTTTGTGATGACAAACACATTAATAGAAAATTCTATTGCAAGTGCCTGTTCTTTGGTTGCGCTCTGACTGTGGGATAGTCTGGAACCAGTACAGAGGCACCTTCCTTGTGGTGGCCCTAAGGTAACAGTTTATAGCTGGGAACCTTTAAGAATCTTGGATTGGTAAGAGATGGTGTTTGCAGTTTCAAAAAAGTCCTCTCGCTGAGTACTTTCTTCCCCTGAAAATCATTGTTTCCTGAGGAAAGCAGGTTCTGGGGTGCCTGGGTGGCTCAGTCGAAGTGGCTAACTCCGGCTCAGGTCATGATCTCACCATTTGTGAGTTTGAGCCCCATGTTGGGCTCTGTGCTGACAGCTTGGAGCCTGGAGTTTGCTTCAGATTCTGTGTCTCCCTCTCTTTCGGCCCCTCCCCTGTTCACACTCTGTCTCTGTCTCTTTCTCAAAAATAAATAAACACTAAAAATTAAAAATAAAAAAAAAAAAGGAAAGCAGGTTCTAAGTTCCCTTGCGGTACCAGAAGGCTAGGAGGGATTGAAGGACTTGACCCCTGCTCAACGGGCCACAGCAATTAAGGCTCCTCCTATTGTGGTAGGAAGGACTTTAGTACTATAGTGTCCATTCATCCACAGACACCCAGAAATCAGATGTTCCTATCTTGAGGCCTCCCTGTGACTACTTGGGCATATGTGGAAAACTAATCTGAGGGGTGCCTGGGTGGCTCAGTAAGTTGAGCATCTGACTCTTGATTTCAGCCCAGGTCACGATCCCAGGGTTGTGGGATTGAGCCCTGTGTTGGGCTCTGTGCTGAGTGTGGAGCCTGCTTAAGATTTTCTCTCTCTCTCTCTCTCTCTCTCTCTCTCTGTCTCTTCCCCACCCCTCTCCCCTGCTCACACTCTCTCTCTTAAAATAATACAAATAAAAACTGCTCTGAAATTCTTGACCAGTGAGCACATTAATAGCAGTTGCCAGAATAGCAAATACATAATTTTTATGGGGTTTCCTAGAGATTTAGACATAATCATTTGAGAAACAGCTATGCAAATATTTTCAATAAGGTTTGGCTTTTCCTTCCTAGGACATTTATTTATTCAAATACTGATTTAAAACTTGAATTCTAGTATGTTATAAACACTGCAATAGTCTTCTGGTTGTTCAAGGAGTTAATTATATTTGTCACCAGATTTATAAAACATACTATTCCTTAATATTTAATTCTCTTATGGAGAAGAAAATTAATTAGTAAAACAGAATAATGTTTCCCAGACCTTCAAGTTCAAATGGAAGTATTGATATTTTTAATCAAAAAGACATTAAATTACCACAAACCCTAAAGTCTTGCACTTAAAAACTTTGGTACTAACAGTATATACACTGTATACTATGTATTTATTTTTGCCACAAATCTTCTTCTAGGCAGGTTAGATAGCTTCTCAAAGTAATACTTGGCAAAAAGAAATTTTGGAATGCAAAGTGGCTGGCATGTCATCAACCACACACTTTACCCAAGAAAGATTTTAAATTTGGGTATAGACTGAAATATATATGTATATGCAACATTGCTGAGTTAAATAAAATAGTGCATTTGAAAAAAGAAGGAATGGTTGTTTTCAAGAGAGACTGGCTATAGACATTGATGCTTTTGTGTAATCCTATGGGATGGTAGACCTGATGTGGTCAGCTCATGCCATATTCTGTAAGAGGCACATGAGGCAGTGCTGTGTGTTAAAAGTTGACTCAGAACACAGTGGGGTCAAATATGCTGAGGAAAGAAGACCAAGAAGACATTCAGCATATGTTAATTCAGCTGACAAACATGTTTTCTTTTGAGGACCTACTTCATACCAGTCATTGAAGATGCAGAGGATACAACCGAGAAATGTGTTCTAGTCTTTCTAAGGACTTAAGGAATTTGCAGTTTCAAGGGGAAGACAGACAGACAAGTAAACAGATGCCTATAGTATGGAGTAGCACCTGGCCCAAGCTGGGGGAGGGAATGTCTAAGAGGGAGGCTTCTTTTCTTAATTTTATTTTATTTTTCTTAATGTTTATTTATTTTGAGAGAGCAGGAGTGGGGGAGGGGCACAGAGAGGGGGAGACAGAGAATCTGAAGCCAACTCCAGGCTCTGAGCTGTCTGTACAGAACCCAATGTGGTACTCAAACTCATAGACTGTGAGATCATGACCTGAGCCAAAGTCTGACTCTTAACTGACTGAGCCACCCAGGGGCCCCTAAGGGGGAGGCTTCTTGAAAGAGGTGGAATCTTAAAGTACAAATAGGAGTTAGGTACAGAAAGGGATAGGGAGGATATTGCAGCAGGAGAGAAGTACCCTGTGCAGAGCCCCAGCATCAATGAGTACATGTGTAACTGAGCAGATATTAACTATTTATTGAATCCCTACTGCATCTCTATAAGGCAGCACTATTATTCTCAGTAAGTATATCACCCACATGCTTCCATTTAGTCCTCACAACCATATTTTAAGCTAGGCATCCCCATATTACAGATATGAAGACTGACCCTTAGGGAGGTTAAATAACTTACCTCAGACCACACAAACAGTAAGAAGTATCTCAAGGATTTGAACTCAGGTCCATGTTAATTTTGAAGCAGACCTCTTACAACACTTTTTAAAAATGTTTATTTATTTTTGAGAGAGAGAGAGAGAACGAGTAGGGGAGTGACAGAGAGAGGAGGCACAGAATCTGAACCAGGCTCCAGGCTCTGAGCTGTCAGCACAGAGCCTGACGCAAGGCTCAAACTCATGGACTATGAGATCATGACCTGAGCTTAGAAGTTGATTGCTTAGCCAACTGAGCCAACCAGGCGCCCCACAACACTTTTGATCATAGTCTGTTTTCAGTAAGTTTTTATGAGCAGGCACCCCTAAATAAATCATAATTCAATCATGTATAACTTATATACACGTATGCTTATATATATGCATGTGTTATAAAACATACAGAAGGGGCATCTGGGTGGCTCAGTTAGTTGAGCATCTGACTCTCGACTTTGACTCAGGTCATGATCTCATGGTTCATGAATATGAGTCCTGCATTGGGCTCTGCACTGATAGCACAGAGCCTGGTTGGGTTTCTGTCTCCCTCTCTCTCTGGCTCTCCCTTGCTTGCTCACTCTCCTCAAAAAATAAATGAAAATTAAAAAATTTAACACACACAAAACTAGAAAATTTCAAAGTTAGAGTTAATGATAAAAAACATTTTTTAAATGCCTTGCTAATTACAGTGGCTGAATACTATCATTAGATAATATCTCAAAGCCCAAAATACATTTAGTGCATTTACTGATAAAGGAAATAGACACAGGTCCACATTTAAAATCCTGATAATTTTAACTTTTGTGAGGCCAAAGTTCCGAACTAATTAGATCATTCTTGTTTATAAGCTCATAACAACAGCTGAGGAGGAGTTTGTAATAAGAGTAAAAGAATGATCTTCAGTCTTTGATATTTGCAGTGATCTTTTAGCCACTTGTCCATTTATGGACGTAGGTTTAAACTAGATAACCTAATTCATAAATACACATAACCAAGCAAATGGACACTGCCATAAGTTGCATGATGCAAAAAGAAATGAGGTGCCCTGACCAGCCCTCCTTATTCAGAAATCCCACTCTTCCCTCGGGAGTATGACATGGGACACGGTGATGTGTAACAGCTGACAGACAGACCAAGAGAAAAGGAGGAGTCATCTTCTGACTGGGCTTCCCCTATTTGGTGTGCCCTTGGGATTCCATATTGTATGTTATGAAAATTATAGCACTACTCATCATAATATGAAATCCAGTATAAAATTGGTCCTTTTTGGACCACATCCAGGGGTTTAGTGACTGAAACAATAGAAAAACTGATGTTGTAACGTAAGACAGTGAAATGTCAGCATCACCACTGCAGGTCAGCCTGGTGGTGGTCTTGTAGCACATCTGGCCAAAAACATAAATGTTCCTGTTTAAATGGAAAAACCAAAATATTCTATCCTGCATTCTGAGGACAGAACCATCTGGATGGTGCAAAATACTTCAAGCTACCAGGTCCTGAAATATGGTGCTAATATCCATTCATTCAGTAACTATTTTTTGTCATATTATGCACCAAGCATGTGTTACGAGGCAGAATTTCCTTCTTCATGGAAAATGAAGTCTAGATGCAGTACACGTATTAAACAAAATGACATAATAGAATTATTTACTCTTGTGATATGGTCTTCAAAGGTGAAGAACAAACTTCTAGGAAAGCAGAGAGATTTAGTCTAGTCTGAGATGGCCAAAGAAAGCTCTATTGAGAAACAGATGTTTAAACTGACACTTGAAGGGTGAGGGTGATGGAGAATGGTGAGGGAAAGGCATGTCAATCAGAGAAGATGGCCTTAAGGTGGAGATTATCCTTCAGGAAGCTCAATGTGACAGGAGCCCTGGGATGCAAGGGAAGCTGGGTAGCAAGGACCAGGGCTTGGGGCTTGTTGAAGAGTTTGATCTTTATCCAAAGAGCAATGGAAAGAAGGTAAGGGGTTTTTAAACCACTGAAAAATATGATCGGGTTTTCAGTTGTAAAAAGATCATTCAGTTGGCCACAGTATATAGAACAGAATGGAAGAGTAGGGGACAGAATAAGAGGGAAGAAGGAGATGACCTGAGGGGTGAGTTCTTTCCATTAAATATCGGGATAAATGTCAACAGTTGGTTCAAGGCTGAGCTTGGCAAAACAAAACTTTGGGCAGAGGGAGAGACAGACGTTACATTCTTAATAATTATGTAATGAGTTTTTTGAAAAGCCATTTATTTTTTTAATTTTTAAATTTTCTTTAAATCCCAGCTAGTCGTCATAGTGTAATAATGATTTCAGGAGTAGAACCAGTGATTAATCACTTACATACAACACCAAGTGCTTATCCCAACAAGTGCCCTCCTTAATGCCCAGCCCCCATTTAGCCCCTCTCCCCCACACCTCTCCTCCAGCAACCCTCAGTTTGTTCTCTGTATATAAGCGTCTCTTATGGTTTGCCTCCGTCTCTCTTTTTATCTTATTTTGAAAAGCAGTTTAAATAATAGATCTTCAAGTTTTGTATGGCATGTGTGTTTTCTTGATTCCTGGACTGCAGCCTTGAGCAGTGTTGTGTGCAGTTTCTGCTGTTTGCTAGACAGTTGGCTCCCTTTTTTTCCCTGGCTGTTCCTCTCTTGGGTCTTCCTGATTTGTTTCCTGTCTGGTGTTGAAGCAGTGGGTCAGTAGAGGGATGGGGAGGGAGGGCCTCGGAAGCCAAAGAGAGGGAGATTTCCCTCAAAGCCTGGTGCTTATCTTGTTTTTACAGGTCACATCTAGAAGTCAATATTCAAATCTGTATAGGTTGGGGGTGGCTTTTCCCTTGCTGTTAATTCTAAACCCAAACATGATTTTACATATTGTTTACAAAGTAAAAACATGATCCACTGATCATTAACTAATCACTGCAGGTAACGCACAGGAGAGAGGAGGGCAGTCCCAACAAGATGCCTCATTCATGAAGCACACGTGTCGAGTGGATTTCCTCAATGACCCCTGCTACATAAATACACAAGCTCTTCAAAGTACACTTGGCTCTGCCCCAAATCAAAGCTCAGCTCACTCACTGGGGAGCCCGTGGCACCGTCAAAGTAAGTAGCTGTTCACCATCTGTATTAGTTTCCTGTGGCTGCTGTAACAAATGACCACAAACCAGGAGTCTTAAAGCAGTAGAAATTTATTCCTTCACAGTTCTGGAGGCCAGAAGTCCTCAGTAAGGTGTCAGCTGGGGTGATTCCTTCTGGAGGCTCTGGAGAAGGAGCTGCTCCATGCCTCTCTCCTAGCTTCTGGTGATGGCTGGCAATTCTTGGTGTTTCTTCTTGGCTTGTAGACACATTAGTCTCTGCCTCAGTCTTCTGACCTTCACCTCCAATCTCAAACCTCTGTCTTCTGTCTCTTCTAGGACAATCCTTTTCTCTTCTAGGTAGGCTCTAAAGCCGGAAAGATCTCATCTTCAGATCCTTAACTTAATTACGTTTTCAAAAACCCTTTCCCCAAATTAGGCCACACACACAGGGACTGCAGATCAGGATCTGAATGTATCATTTTGGGGGCCACTATTCATCTCAGTACATTGTCACTCATTTTCAGGAAGGCTATTTCCTTGGCCTCATTTTTGGGGACTGAAAAGGATTCTTTCTTTCTTTCTTTCTTTCTTTCTTTCTTTCTTTCTTTCTTTCTTGTTAACATTTATTCATTTTTGAGAGAGAGATAGAGTGTGAGTGGAGGAGGGGCAGAGAGAGAGGGAGACACAGAATCTGAAGCAGGCTCCAGGCTCTGAACTGTCAGCACAGAGCCCTATGAAGGGCTTGACCCCACAAGTGGTGAGATCATGACCTGAGCCGAAGTTGGATGCTCAACCAACTGAGCCACTCAGGCGCCCCGAAAAGGATTCTTTCTTACCTCAATCTTATACCAGAGTTAATTGTGGAGATATTATGGATTTCAAGGTTTTTGATTTTGAGTAATCTTTTCAAATATTTTAACTGGGTCCCAACTCTTGGTTTTGGCTATGTGCTCTTGCTGAAAGAAGGATTGTCAAAGCCAGGAGATAATTTGAATTTGTGGGCTTGTGTGAGGAACAGTGACCATTATTTGGCTCTGTTTAGTGATGGTTTTAATTTTATTCATTTCAAAACTCCTTGGTAAGTCATCTGTGGAGCACTAAAACAAGATGGCTTCTTTCTTCAGCCATATACTGTGAGTAAAATGCAGTAAGACAGACATCATCCTCCTGCTAAATTGCTTCCAGGGGTAAATGCATACACAGGAGCATAAATAAATAAAAACAAAAGAAACCCAAAGCCTACAATCAGCTAAAAACAAACAAAAAATGCTTTTTATAAAATGTAAAAATGTGTTGGGTTCAGATTTGGGTGAACCACATTTGGTTCACTCCAAAGATGGAGAAAGTCCTTTTGCTAGCCCAGAAAGTGTCTCCAAAAGGCCAAAGACAACTCTCCAGCTATCATGAGCAATAACAAGATGAAGTTTAGAAGATTTTGCTGAGCCTGGACTTCATCAGACCCCCTTAACTCCTAGACTGAGAGACAAAGGTCCTTCTTACCAGCCAGGTGACAAGTGAGCCATCTTCTTGTCAGCTCTCTGCAGTCAGTCTTGGCACCTAAACACCCTGGTGGGTTCTCTGGAAGTAAACACTGAGATGGGGCTTTGGCATGCAGGGTCCTATCAGAAAGGGAGGGGGAAGAGGCAGGCTTGGGCAGAGGGAGAAAGGGAGACACCATGTAGTCCTGATGGAGCCCCAGGCAACCCTACAGAGAGAATGTGGGGCCCAAAGAGCTGGGTCTTTTATCCCACTCATTTCAGTCTTTGGGTGTAGGCCACACGAGGGAGGGCAAGCGTTTGGGAAAAAGGCAGCTCCCTGAAAGTGAGGCAGACCCTGAAGGGACAGTCAGCTGGAGGCTGGCTGATGACACCTGGGACACCTGTCCTTCATTGAAGAGCCATCTGGGTCATAACTACTGTGTGATGGATGATGGGATATGCAATCAGTTCAGATTTCTGCAGTGAATTTAACTGTCCAGTGTACAGTGACCAGTATGGATAAGGTAACATATGTTAGAGAGGATAGTTTTTTGAAAAAAGTTTCTGGACCTCAGGTATTAAAACTAACTTGATAAGAGTATATACTTGATAGCTTCCATTTCATGGGCTTTTCAAAGCAACAGTATATTGTTAGAAAACCTATTAGGGGCACCTGGGTGGCTCAGTCAGTTAAGTATCTGACTTCAGCTCAGGTCATGATCTCAGGGTTCAAGCCCATGATCTCACCGTTGAGCCCCCCATCAGGCTCTGCACTGACAGCAGGGAGCCTGCTTGGGATTCTCTCTCTCTCCCTCTCTCTCTGCCCCTCTCTGACTTGTGTCTTTCTCTCTCAAAATAAATAAATAAACTTAAAAAAAAGAAAACTCACTTAGTGGGTGGGCTGAGTTGGGACCTGGGATATTCATTGATTCATAACTACAGTTCCTTTATAAGCAAATCTTTAATGTTAAACATCTTTATAACTCAGTCAAGATATGGAAGCAACCTGTGTCCATCAATAGAGGAATGGATAAAGATGTGAGGTGTGTGTGTGTCTGTGTGTGTGTGTGTGTGTGTGTGTGTGTGTGGTGTAATGGAATATTATTCAGCCATAAAAAAAAGGATGAGATCATGCTGTTTGTTACAACATGGACAGACCTAGAGGGTATTATGCTAAGTCAGGAATAAGTCAGACTGAAAAAGACAAATACTGTATGATTTCACTCATATGTAGACTCTAAAAGGAAAGGAAATGAATAAACAAACAAAAAGCAGAGTCGCACCTATAAATCTAGGGAACAAACTGATGGTTGCCAGAGGGAAGGTGAGTGGGGAGTTGGGCTAAATGGGTGAAGGGGAGTGGGAAATACAGGCTTCCAGTTATGGAATGCATAAGTCATGGGAATAAAAGGCACGGCATAGGAGAAAAAAATATTTATAACACAAAGAAACTTTGTCTTTTGTCATAGACAATTCAATAATATGAAAAGGTAAAATCAATCTATAATAACATTCCTGTCATTAGTTGAAAGTAAGGTCGGCTTTGTCCAAAATTTTAATGGCAAAATGCATATTTAGTGATTTCAGCCTTTTTTTTTTTCATTCTTTCTCCTCTCCCTGCCTTGCTGGCAACATGTTTAATAATAGAGGCTTTGGGGACTTTTTCAGTTTTTATGTCCTATTAGGATATAGTGTACCATAGCCCTTGATATCATTGCTCTCTCCAAAAAAAATTAATTCCAACTCCAGAAATATAAATAGTGTTGATTTAATAAAATGAAATAGGATAGGGATAACTTTATACATACATTTCTGCAAAATGTCTTAAATACGTTTTTTAACATTTCCTCCCTCATGTTTCCTGATCTTTCTTTCCTTACTTTCTCAAAAAACCTCTTTAGCTTCTTTAGGCATACTTAGCTTCCCTTTTCCAGTCAAAAGCTTGCTGATTAGTTCAGTAAAACAAAACAAAACAAAACAAAAACAAATCTCTAGATATAAATGTAGTATCTCTCGAGCATGCCTTCTGGTCTCCCCAATCAATCCTATCACACTGTGTAGGAAAAGCTCAACACAATCTTTATTTTTATCAAACTTGGCAGAAGGGAATTACTAGTATTGATATTATAGTTTTTTTTTTTAATTTATTTATTTTGAGAGAGAGCATGTGCAAGTGAGGGAGGGGCAGAGAGAGAGGAAGAAAGAGAGAATCCTGAGCAGGCTCCACACTGTCAGTGCAGAGTCCAATGCAGGGCTCAAACTCACCAACTGTGAGATCATGACCTGGGCCGAAACCAAGAGTCAGACGCTTAACCAACTGAGTCACCCAGGCTCCCCTTTAAATTTATTTATTTTGAGAAAGAGAGATAGATAGCACACATGCGCATGCACAAAAGTGAGCAGGGGAGGGGCAGAGAGAGAGAGGAGAGAGAGAATCCTAAGCAGGCTCCACATTGGCAGCTCAATCCCATAAACCGATGAGGCCATGATTTGAGCCAAAATCAAGAGTCATGTGCTTAACTGACCAAGCACCCAGGTACCCTTTTTTTCTTAATGGAGGTTCTAATTGCTATGAACTTCCCTCTTAGAACTGCCTCTGATAGCATCTCATAAGTTTTTTTCATTTTCATTTGTCTCAAGACATTTTATGATTTATTTTTTTATACATTTTTTGACCTGCTTGTTGTTCAGTGGCATGCTACTTAATCTCCACATATTTGTGAATTTCCTAGTTTTCTTGTAATTGATTTCTCATGTCACTGTGGTTAGAAAAGATACTTGATATGATTTCATTCTTAAAAATTTTATTCTGACTTGTTTGTGGCCTAACATATGATCTATCCTGGATAGTGTCCCATGTGCTCTTGAGAAGAACGTATAGTCTATTGCTTTGGGTAAAATGTTCTATTAAATGTCTGTTGAGTCAGTCTGGTCTAATGTATAGTTTAGGTCTAATGTTTCCTTATTGATATTCAATCTGGTTGATCTATCTATTGTTGAAAATGGGTATTGAAGTCCCCTACGACTACTTTATTGCTGTCTATTTCTCCTTTCAAGTCTGTTAATATTTGCTTTCCATATTTATGTTCTCCCATGTTAGATGAACAAATATTTGTTATTTTCAATTGTTTTATAATATTGTGTTGTATGAGAATATCATAGTTTATATAACCATTCCTTATTGATGGACATCTAGTTTTTCAGTCCTTTGTTAATATAATAATCGTTTCTGCACCAAAATATCTAATGTGCTATTTAAAAATTGAATGCATTAGTATGTTGTTTTCACAGTTCACATTGGTTTCTTTAAATGTCTTATTCTTTATTATTGGGATTACTTGTAATTATTTAATTTGATTTTGCATGTCAAAATTTTTTTCTCTTCCTTAAGCCCTAGGCTCCCTTTCTGAGGTTTTGCCCATCAGATGCTTATGGGTGTGGATATTCATATTTGTCTTGGGCTTTCCAGAATTTCCGATTGTGAAAAATATGTTTTCAGTTGCTATGGAAACTCCAAGATGACATGATTACTTTCTTCCATGATTCCTATCACTTTTTTCTTTTTAGGTCTCACTTAAATATAGAGTGGCCTTAATCATGTTGCTTCCTTAATCTTCACTACTTCTCAGAAAGTATGTTATTAATTATATCAGGTCAATAACTTATTACATTTTGTATGGGAATTTTATATAAATAACTAGATTTAAATTATGATTATCTTTCTCACAGTCAACATAATGTGAGAAAGGTGTTGATAATAGGTAGTGTGCCAAAATGTTAAAGAGTAGTTGTATTTGGTTATGGGACCACAGGTGATTAATTTTCTTTGTTTCTCTGTGTTCCCCAGATTTCAAAAAAGAATAGCATGCATAACTTTTAAAATTAAAACAAAATTTTTAAAAATCTGTCACATATTCTACTTTTAGGAAAAGTAGATTTTCAGCAAATGTTTAGATGATTGAAATGTCCCAGCATAGTGTATGCTGTTCTTGTGCTAATCTGGGAAACTGTGATAGGAAAATATTGTCCATATCCTCAGGCTGGCCCGTGATCTGTTGCCTCTTTTCAAGATGATATCATGTCTGTTTTTCTTTTGTTTTGTCCATGTCCAAAAGCTCTCCACCCTTATCTCAGAATAAACTGAAAGCCATCATGCATTAAGATGTGTGTGCCCCCACACACACGTGCAAGTATCTCTCTTCCACTCACACAAACACTGTCCCTCTCATGTACACAAACACACACACGACTACTTATCAGAGTTCTCTATTATGCCTGAAAGCATGCAGCACTAAGGCCAACTTCATTTATTATTCATCAAATCTGGACATGCCTTTCAGCCTTTTTCTGGCAACAATAGATAGACCTGATTGTGGAGAAGAATATTTCAGCCATTAAATATAGACTCAACTTATTTTCAAAAAGATATATTTGTGAATGCCGCATCATAGTTGTGCTATGCAGAGAGTTCTTAAGTAGAGACAAAACTATAACATATTAACAGGAGAGTTGGGTTATATCTTCAGGGCACTGGTTGCCTGTATCAATGTCTTCATGATATTATCATGTATAAGTTGCAGAACTTAGAGTTAAAAGAGGATTTCTCATTTGCAAGACTCTTGCATAAGGACATGGAAACACACCTCTGCATTTATAAAGATGAAGGCTGGCTTCTATGCAAAAGATTGCTTGCATTTAAAAAGAGAAAGTCCAATTTCTACAGTTATTTTCCTAGTAAATTTGCCATATAAAACATACAACTTTTACCTGGATTCAGACCTAAGAATTTTTGTTATTACTTCTGGAGATGCTGTATATCATCATGATGGCCTTGCTATTTTTTTTCCTAACATTTATTTCTGAGAGACAGAGAGAGATAGAGCATGAGCTGGGGAGGAGCAGAGAGAGAGGGAGACACAGAATCTGAAGCAGGCTCCAGGTACTGAGCTGTCAGCACAGAGCCCAATGCAGGGCTTGAACCCATGAACTGTGAGATCATGACCTGAGCTGAAGTTGGATGCTCAACTGACTGAGCCACCCAGGAGCCCCAGCCTTGCTCTTTATGAGGGGCCATTGTAGGTACTGCAGAAGTAGAGTTGGCTAGACTACCTTTGAAAACTGAAAGGTTTTCACTTTCAAGGCAAGGGTTTTGACTGTGGTGATTAAGAATCTGGGCTTTGGAGTCAAAGAGAACTCATTTCAACCCCCCAGATTTACAACATATTAGCAGTGTGACTGTGGGTAAGTCATTTGGTCTTTTTAAAGATCCCTTTCCTTGCCTGTCTAGTTTTGAGAACCAAACAAGATACGTGCAGAGCACTGAGCACTGCCTATCATATTTGATAAATGAGAACTGCATAATTATTATTATTATCACTGTGAGTATCAGTAATACTATTACGTGCCACCTGGATATACCTTTTCATCCCCTCTGCCCTCAACTCTAGATAATATTTGTCCTGCACAACATTGGGGAACTGCCTCAGACCATGGCCTCCTTGATGTTTTGCCTTCTTTTACCTGATTAACTCTGCTCTGTCCATGCCAGTGAGTGACACAAACACCAGAGTGGTCATTTAATAGGAATGCTGTGAGGTTCAGCATAGCTTTGACTTTTTTGGTCAGAGGCATCTCTGAAGCCCCTTAGTAATTTGGTTTAAAAAGATTAAAAAGCTAAATACTAAAAAGTGGGCATAATCCACAGTTACTGTAGGCATTTTCAGAGTTTGGGAATGTTTTCAAATTTCTCTGTGATCCAGGTACTGCGTAAGCCTCTTTTGTCTTTAACATACAGCCCCTGGGACATAAAGTACCTCTCTCTGCTGTTATGAAAGCAATTCTCACGGGTCAGTCCCATTTCTCATCTGAAAGGAAAACTCCTGCACCTGGGCAAGCCTTTCCTGCCGACAGAAGCCAAGGGCAATGTTTGGACCTACCGTTAAATTAAAGCCTGTTGGAAGTTCTGGAAACAAAAACTCCATTTGTTCTAGAAGCAGCATTATTTAAATAGTACATGACATATAGTAGGGCCTCAAGTTATATTTGCTGAACAAATTAATGAATGATCAAATGAATAGGAGGTAGCTTGGTGATATCTCTCTTTGTATTTTGACCCTAGAAGCACCAGAAACTGTTCAGCCAGGTGCTACAGCCCAGCCTGCCAGCTCACATTCTTTGCCACACATTAAGCAGCAGCTGCGGAATGAAGACTGCTACCATGGCAAGCTGAGCAGGAAGGCAGCAGAGAGCCTCTTGGTAAAGGATGGGGACTTCTTGGTTCGAGAAAGTGCAACGTCTCCTGGTCAGTATGTGCTAAGTGGACTGCAGGGAGGCCAGGCAAAGCATCTTCTCCTGGTGGACCCTGAAGGCAAGGTATCATTGGCCTCTTATTACGGTTTTCATGAGTTTTTGTAACTAACATTACTCTGTGATTGATCCCAAACCTGATATTGAAACATGATAACATTTAGTGTTTCCTTTTTCTTGACCCCTCCAGCTGGAGCAGGAAGTGTTAAGTAGAGGCTGATGGAAGGGTTTGACAGGGAGCTACTTCCTGGAGGTTTAGGTAGAGGGCAGCTCTTCCCGCTCTTCTCAGTTCAATCTAGTGAATTAAATGAATACTTACTCCATGGAAGAACAAAGGTTCACAATTGACTGTTGCTCAGTATCAATGCTTGTCCTTACTCTCAGGGTGCTTATAATTTCATAAAACAGATACTTAAATAAGTATAACACAAGGGTGAATGACATAAGAATGGTTCAACCAAAGTATTACGGTATTCTCAGGATAGAGGAGTACTGTCTTTGAGGCAAACTAAAAAGGCTTCTTGCAGGGTCTGACATGTACAGTGAACCTTGAAGGAAACAAAATTTTAAGAGGGGTACATTTGGAGAATAGGGAAGGAAGCACAGGCAGAGCAGAAGAATGGTATTAAGTCAATAAAAGATGTAGGACTGGACAGAGGATGCCTGTAGACAGGAATGATCCTGAGCAAAAGACAGTTAACAAAATGGTAATAGTCCTTTATTAATAATTAGTTTAAATGTAAAATTTAAACCAGTGAAGAAATATAGAATAGCTGAATGGATATAAAGCAAGGTCCAACTATATGCTATCTAGAAAAGACTCATTTTATTTTATTTTTTTACAGTTTTAAAATGTTTATTCATTTTTGAAAGACAGAGTATGAGTAAGGGAGAGTCAAAGAGAGAGGGAGACAGAATTTGAAGCAGGCTGAGCTGTTAGCATGGAGCCTGACATGGGGCTTGAACTCATGAACCCCAAGATCATGACCTGAGTGGAGATCAATATGGAAAATATGACAATTATATAAAAGTATATGCATTCAACATCAGAGTACCCAAATATATGATACAAAATTGACAGAACTGAAGAGAGAAATAGTAACACAGTAATAGTGGGAGATTTCAAGGCACCACTTTTAACAATAGATAGAACCTCCAGTCAGAAGGACTTGAACAGCACTGTAGACAAAATGGACCTAACCTGACATATGCAGAACATTTCTCCCAACTGCAGTGGAATACACGTTCTTTTCAAGCATACTCAGAGCATTCACCTGTTAGATCACAAATAAAAGATCACACATACCAGGATGGATCACATGATAGGTCACAACACAAGCCTTAGGAAATTTAAGAAGAATGAAATTATACCAAGTATCTTTTCTGATCACACTGGAATGAAACTAGAAGTTAATGGCAGAAAGAGAACTGGAAAATTCACAAATATGCAGAATTAAACAACACACTCTTGAACACCCAGTGTCAAGGAAGAAATTAAAGGGAAATTAGAAAATATTTGTAAACAAATGGAAATGAAAAACACACTAGAACTATGAGATGCAGTGAAAGCAATAGGAAGGAAGTTGATGGTGATAAATGCCTACACTGAAAAAATAAAAGCTCTCTAATAAACAATCTATGTGTATACCTCAAGGAACTGTAAAAGGAACAAACTAAACCCAAAAGTAGCAGAAGAAAGGAAATAATTCAGATTAGAGCAGAAATAAATGAAAGGGAGTAGAAAAATAGTAGGGAAAACCCACAAAATTACAAGTTGGTGTTTTGAAAAGATAAACAAACAAACAAACTTTTAGCTAGGCTGGCTAAGAAAACGAGAGAAGGCTCAAATAAATAAAATTAGAAATGAAAGATGAGACATTACAACTGATGCCGTAGAGATTACATGATTATAAGAGATGATTAAGAACAATTATCCAACAAATTGGATAACCCAGAAAAAAGGGATAAATTCCTTTTTTTTTTTTTTTTTTTAAATTTCTGAGAGAGAGAGAGACATTGTGAGCAGGGGAGGGTCAGATAGAGAGGGAGACACAGAATCTGAAACAGGCTCCAGGCTCTGAGCTTGCAGTCAGCACGGAGCCCGACACGGGGCTCGAACCCACGGACTGTGAGATCATGACCTGAGCTGAAGTCGGATGCTCAACCGACTGAGCCACCCAGGCGCCCACGGGATAAATTCCTAAAAACATACAACCTACCGAGATTGATTCATGAAGAAATAGAAAATCTGAACATATGAATTACTAGTAAGGAGACTGAATCACTAATCAAAAACTGTCCATTAAAAAAAAGCACCCAGGACTAGATGGTATTACTGGTAAATTCTTTCAAACATTTAAAGAAGAATTAATGCCAATGCTTATTAACCTTTACCCCAAAAAATTGAAGGGGAAAAATGCTTACAAACTCATTTTATAAAGCCTACCTTACCAATGTTCCAAAATCAGAAAAAGACACAGCTAATATCATACCCCACATACAAAACAGAAATCTTTTCCTTTTACCACTTTTATTGGTCAAGTACTACCACCAACATAGTACTGTAAGTACTAGCCAGAGAAATTAGGGAAAAAAAAGAAATAAAAGGCATCCAAATTTGAAAGGAAGAAGTAAAATAATTGCTTCACAGGTGAGAGAATCTTCTATGTAGAAAATCTTAAACATTCCACAAAAAAACCCGGATAGGAGCAATCAACAAGTTCAGCAACGTTGCAGAATAGAAAACGAATATACAAACATTAGTTGCATTTGTAAATAATAATAATGAACACTCTGAAAAGGAAATTAAGAAAATCTCATTTACAATACCATCAAAACAATCTCATTTCAATACCATTAAGAATAAACATAACCAAGAACGCGAAAGACTTATACAGTGAAAACTATAAAACATTGCTGAGAAAAATTAAAGAAGACACAATGGAAAGACATCTCATGTTCACGGATAAGAAGATTTAATGTTGTTAAAGTGTCATTATTACCCAAAGTAATCTACAGATTCAATGCAATCTCCATCAAAATTCTAATAGCAGTTTTTACAGAAATAGCAATACAATCTTAATATTCACTCAGAACCGCAGAGGACGCTAAATAGCCAAAATAATCTTGAGAAAGAAGAACAAAGCTGGAGACATTACACTTACTGATTTCAAAGCCAGAGTAATCAAACCAATATGGTACTGGAATAAAGACAGACATATAGACCAATGGAACAGAATAGGGAGCCCAGAGATAAACCTATGCATATGTGATCAAATTATCTTTGCAAAAGTTGCCAAGAATTCACAATGGGGAAAGAATACTCTTTCAACAAATGGTTTGGGGAAAACAATATCCACATGCAGAAGAATAAAGTTGGACCCTTATCTTATACCACACAGAAAAATTATCTCAAAAAAAGATTAAAGACTTATATGTAATATTTGAAACTATAAAAGTCCAAGGAAAAAACATAAGGAAAAACTTCATGGTTTTGTTCTTGGCAATGATTTCTTGGCTATAACACCAAAAAACACAAACAAATGCAAAAATAGCCAAGTGAGACTACAAAAACTAAAAAAAATTCTGCATAGCAAACAATCAACAGAGTAAAGGATAATTAGAATGGGAGAAAATATGTGCAAACCATGTATCTGATAAGGGGTTAATTTTCAAAGTACATAAGGAAATTTTTAACTCAGTAGCAAAAAGACAAATAATCTGGTTAAAAAATGGACAGATGACTTGAATAGTTATGTCTCCAACGAAGACATACAAATGGCCGAGAGGTATTTGAAAAGATGCTCAACAACAATAATCATCGGGGAAATGCAAATCAAATTCATAGTAAGGTATCACCTCATACCTATCAGGATGGCCGTAATAAAAAACAAACAGGAGCACCCAGTGGTTCAGTGGGTTAAGTGTCCAACTCTTGATTTGGGCTCAGGTCAGGATCTCACGGTTCATGAGATGGAGCCCTGCATCAGGCTCTGTGTGGAATCCGCTCGGGATTCTCTCTCTCCCTCTCTTTTTGCCCCTCCCCCACTCATGCACTCACACACTCTTTCTCTCTCTCTAAATAAATAAATAAGTAAACTTTGAAAAATAAAATAAATAAACATTAAACAAAACAAACAAAAAATAGTAAGTCTTGGTGAGGGTGTACAGAAATTGTAACCTTTGTGCCCTGTTGGTGGGAATGTAAAATGGTGTAAAATGGCTGCTGTAGAAAACAGTATGGAGTTTCCTCAAAAAATTAAAATAGAACTCCCATATGATCCATATTTATTGGATGGGTATTTATCCCAAAAGAATTGAAATCAGGATCTTAAGGAGACATTTGTACCCCAATGTTCACTGCAACATTATTCACAATAGCCAAGAAGTGGAAACAAGTTAAATGTCTCTTGATGGACTAATGGATTAAGAGAATGTGATAGAACAGAATACTATCCAGCTGTACAGAAGACTACAGAGTCTGTCACATGATACAAACATGATATACATGACTATCTAAGGTAGTAAAAACTCTTATAAAGGAGAATATGGCAGTTGCTAGGAGCTAGTGGGGAGGAGGAAACGGGTTGTTGTTGTTTAATGTGTGTACATTTCAGTCATGTAAGATGAAAAAGTTCTAGTGATGTGCTGTGCAACATTGTGCCTAGAGTTAACTATACTATATTGGACACCTAAAATTTTGTTCATGGGATTGGATTGAGGCACCTGGGTAGTTAAGTGTCCAACTTTGGCTCAGGTCATGATTTCACCGTTTGTGAGTTCAAGCCCAGCTTTGGGCTCTGTGCTGACAGCTCAGAGCCTGGAGCCTACTTCAGATTCTGTCTCCCTCTCTCTCTCTCTCTGCTCCTCCCCTGCTCATGAGCTGTATCTCTGTCTCAAAAATAAATAAAACAATAAGGAAATTGAAAAAAAAATGTGTTCATGGGGTAGATCTCATGTTATGGCTTTGTTATCTCTCTCTCTCTCTCTCTCTCTCTCTAACACACACACACACACACACACACTCACACACACAGTGTGTGTGCATGCCTGTGCACCTTGTGATTGGGGTCACAACAGCAAATGTTTGCAGGCCTACCCAGTATCATAAGTGTGTAAAGCTGGGCAAATAGTGGAATGAGCATAGAGTGTGGTGGGCTGTGATAAACTGGGAAACACATGTCCTGTTTACGGGGGACAGTCACACTCAGCCTCAGTCAATTGCTGCAGTTTCGACGAAGGGCCCAGTGTAGCCAGATTTAATTTTACCAAAGAAACTACAAAACTAAATTTTTATAGGAGAGTGCCCCATATTTAATTCAAAAATACTTAAAAACTCTCTGTTGGGCACGTTCTGCCTTACCCTGCAGCAAACTAAAACAGCTCCTGGTATGTTGGGCTAGAGAGTGAAAAATAGTTTATAATCCCTGAACTGGAAGTTTTTTTTAAATTTCTTTATTTTGTGAGAGCACATGCAGGAGGGGCAGAGAGAAGGAGAGAGAGAGGATCCCAAGCATGCTCTACACTATCAGCACAGAGCCCAATGTGGGGCTCAAACTCATGAATCATGAGATCATAACCTCAGCTGAAACCAAGAGCTTAACTGACTGAACCACCCACGCACCTCAACCCTGCACTGGAAAATTAATTTGACATTTATATGCAGGATTGATTATAGAAGAATGTAATTAGGGGATTTTAGGTAAAAACTAGTGAAAACCTGAAGCAGAATGGAGGCAGGAGAAACACAGAGAGGAGAGCAGAGTGAAATGGAATTAACAACACAGACTGGCAGAACTAATCCACCCATTTGACATGGGTTGGGGTTGAGATGAAGGATAGAAAAATGTTTCCAAGTCTTGGAGCCATTTGATAAGTAAATTGGAAACATTGTGCCCTTTATCTCTAATCCTTGAGTGTATATTTTCTACAAATAGGAATATTTTCTTACATAGACATAGTACAGGGACCAAAATCAAGAAATTGATACATTATCATTATCTAGTTCATAGTCGTATTCCAATGAGGTCAGTTATTCCAATTAGTGTGTATTTTTTTAATGTGCTGAAAATCAATATCTAAACAGAAATTTAAAAATCCCTTGTAGAGAGGTAGCAGAAGCCTGTAACAAGGTGTTCTCTCACCTCATGTCTTCCCACTCCTTGGCAGTTCCCAGCCACCATCCAAACAGGACTGTATTATGGCCCATGGAGTCATGATGGAGAGTACTATCTTCTGCCCATGCACAGGGTGAGGATGCAGTAATACTGAGGAGGAAGGTCCTCAGGAGAAGGCAGGCATTGGGAAACTCAGTCGCTCTGGCCTGCAGATGAGAAGTTCCGTGTAGCAAATATTTATGAACCAGCTACCGTGAAGAATGCAGGAACGAGACATGAATGCTTATTAGGAAGGTCTGAGGAGGCTTCTTCAAGGAGACAGAGTTTGTGTTCAGCCTCCACGGAGAGACAGGACTTCTCCAGAATGGCCTGCTTCCTACACATACAAGATATTTTGGAAGCAGTCTGCTTGCTGGGTTAAAATTGTAATCCTGGGATTTATGCTTGGTTATACAGTTAAATATTTATAGGAATGGTGACATAATAGAATATATCAAACAGTAATGTGGCAAACAGGTTTGTTGTAAATTTGAACTGTGTGACAAATGTTTACCATTTTTCTAACTAGGACAGAAAATTGCTTTAAAAAGATAATGAGAAATGAGAAAATTGTTTACTAAGGGATATAGAGTTGAAAATACTTTCTCTTTTTTTCTTCTTCTTCTTTTTCTTTTCTTTTTTTTTTTTTTTTCCATTCAGCCAAGTATCTCATTCTGGTATATGTCTGTTTTTCCTCCTGATTTGTCTACATCTTTTAGGGGAACTGTTATCATTTAACCTAAATACTTTGTGCTTCCTTTTCAAGGTAAGGACCAAGGATCACGTGTTTGATAATGTTGGCCACCTCATCAGATACCACATGGATAATAGTTTGCCAATCATCTCTTCTGGAAGTGAAGTAAGCCTTAAACAGCCAGTGAGAAAAGATAATAATCCAGGACTTTTGCAGTCCAACAAATGACAATGTGGAAGTGCCATCACACTGATAGTTCAAGAAAGTTCGTTTTGTGTTAGGATACAAAGATAATCCAAACTTGGTTGATAGATAAAATAGAGCACAAGCTGTGAAGTACATTTTCTTAAGAGCATCATGGACTATGTCCTTTATATGACAAAGAACTAATACAGATTGATCTTCAGAAAGTGAAAATCAGAAAGGGGAAAAGGATTGGTCCATCTGGAAAGAAATTATACATATGCACGGATGTCACTTTTTAAGGCCATATTGCATCGATAGCAAGCTAAAAGCACAATTAAAATTTCCCATGCTAGAGACTCCTTAGATGATCTGCTGGGGCAGTGGTATGTGCCTTTCAACTTGATAATTTGGGGACATTTTCATATCGGGGAGATTAGTTCTAAGTATCTTCATATTCTATAACTATAGAACTATTTGCCAAAAAAAAAAAGTTTTTCCTTGTTACAAAAATAAGAAGCAATTCGCTTGATAGTTATTGACTTTATCACATTTTATGTTTAGTAGCACTTTCACTACAATGTTAAAATAAATTTCACCTTGAAGTTGGACCGTGTCTTTAACAGTGGAATCAAATCAAGGGCCACTGAAAGCATTGGTCTGGGCCTGTCCCACTTACTAGCTAAGGGTTGGGGCCTAAATTCTTTGGCCTAGTATTTCTCACTCTTTGCTAGTTGGACTCTTTGTATGCACCACAGAGCAAGCTGAAAAACCCAAATCTATCAGTCATGTCTGATTTCATTGTATTTCTTCCTCTTTCCTTCTCCTCTCCCTCCCACAACGGAAGCTTATGAGTGCATGAATTTAAAACACAGCAGATAAACCAGTGTTCTTCATATTCAATATCCCAGTTGGTTTCATTCTTGTTAACGTATTGACTCTGTTTGAAAGTATGGAGAAATATCCTCTTCATTGGCTATGACTGAATCTACATGTATCCTTAGCGTCTTTTTTAGATATGATCAGACAAAATGCAGAAGGGAGAAAACATATTGAACGAAGCAGTTGGAAGGGTTTGCCACATGTAAGTACACTGGTAAACTAATGGTGTAATTAAGTGTTTTGTAGAGAAAAGCGCTGACGGTTTTCTCGATGTGACCATGAGCAAGCTGCTGAACCTGTCCAGACTCCCATTTTCTTGTCTGTGAAATAAGGGAGTTGAGCTAGGTGGATACAGAGATTTATCTCAGCTCTAACATAATATGAGTCTATAAAAAGTAAATTTTCCATTTACTAGGGGTTAGTGTTGACAATTAGTTTGTATAATTGAAATGGCAACTTGAGCTCTTCCCTTTAGCCTACATCCGTATTCCAGGAACCAATGGCACAAATGAAATCTGTATTTAGGTAGTGAAGACCCCAAGCCTTTTAGTCAAAGACATTGAACCTTTGGAGTGCTGTCAGGGTGATGGTAGAATTGGATTTGGTTGTCTGGACTAGCAGAAACCTGCTGCAGTCTTTTAGTCGTCTTTGCATATAATGGTTTGGTTTGGCCATTGCTTTGGGATGTTTTTTTGTTTTTGTTTTTGTTTTATCCTGAGTAACCCAGACAGTTGCCTTAACCTCACTTCATTTTGGCTCTGTAGATACAACTTAACCTTTGTAATTGTGGTATATTTGCTAAATTTTAAATAAAATATGAGAAAATTTTTTGGGCAGAAATCATCAGAAATCAAGCGCACTGAACTCTACTATTTTTTCTGTAAAGGTTTATGATTTTATTCTACTTCTACTGCCACTGATTGTTTAGGTAGGTTTGTTTCTTTTTATACAACTAGAAAATAATGTCTCTTTCATCTGTTTTATATATACCTTGGTTCTTGATTATCCATCCTCAAAAAGGTGGATCAGCATGAGTGTAGATCATAGAAATTTATGGGTGGATCCAGTCACCTTTCAGAGACTGAGCAGGGTTGTGGTCTCTATCTGTTTGAAAAGAGTGTTAACTGGATCACAAAAAAAACTTCCTGATACAAATAGATGCAAAGAGTACAAGTGATGTGAGCAGTACATGGGCACCGGTACATGAGGCACCAGTACATGGAAAATCAGTGTTTGACCGTAATGTTATAGTAGTTAGATAAGAAAATACTGCACTTACCAAGTACCACAGACACAGTTAAGCCAGAATGACACAGCAGAAGAAATGTTGGATTGCATGCTATTTTAATGACACGCATTTATCTTCATCTCTTTTAGAGTGGAAATCCATTTGCCTATAAATACCTGTAAACAACTTTTCAAAAAAAAATAAATGATTATTTCTTTGTGACAATTGACAGTATTTATTATGTCTGATATTTGGGATTTGGAAAATTTATCATAGGCAGGATCCTGATCCTGACTGGAAACAGATGGCTCACTTAAATTGGGTAATTTGAGGAAAGTTTAATAAAACGACTATTTACAAAGGTGTGGGTGGAGTATGGGGCAACCACAGGGGAGGAAGAGGTGCCCTGGGGCCAGTGACTGGTTAAGGGGAAAGCGTAGTAACAGAATCTGGAGACAGTTGTGGAAGGGCTGCTGGAGGTGTGGCCTCCAGTGGAGGGTCTCTCACAGCCCTGGTGACCCCACAGGGAGGAGGCTGGGAACACTATATTTAATGGAAGAAGGATAGCCTTTTCAACAAATGTGATTAAAGTAATTGGACGTCTGTAGGCAGGAGAACAAATGTCACACTTCACATAAACATAAACTCAAATGGATTATGGATTTAAACATAAAATATAAAACTGTGAGACTTTTAGGAAAGAAACACACAGGAAAAAAATCTTTAGGATACAGAGCCAGGCAGAGTTTTTAGACTTGATATGATCCATTAAAGGAAAAATTAGTACATTGTATTTCATCAAAATAATAAATCTTTATTCTTTGAAAGACTCTGTAAAGAGGATGAAGGGCAAGCAATATAGACTGGGAAAAAATATTTGTAAACCACTTATCCGACAGAAGGCTAGTATCTAGAATATATTTTTAAAAAGCCCTCAAAACCCAACAGTAAAAAAACCTAATTAAAAGTGGACAAAAACCATGAAAAGACAATTCACTGAAGATATATAGATGGCAAGCAAGCACATGAAATGTGTTCAAAATCATTAGCCAGTCGAGTCATGACCTCATGGTTTGTGAGATCAAGTTCTGTGTCAGGCTGTGTGCCGACAGCCTGGAAGAGCTTGCCTGGGATTCTCTCTTCCTTTCTCTCTGCCCTTTGTGCATGTACACACACACACACACACACACACACACACGCTCACTCTTCAATAAGTAAACTTAAAAAGAATCATTAGCAAGTAAGGAAATGCAAATTAAAATCACAATTAGATTTTAGTATACACATATCTGAACAGAAAGTGAAAAATATTGACAAATACCAAATACCAAATGCTGGCTCATTGAGGAGAAAGTCAGTCACATCCATTCCCGGTGGAAATGTAAAACAGTACAGCCACTCTGGAAAGCAGCTCGGTAGTTTATTTAAGAAACTAAACATGCAGCTAACATTCAACCCAGTAATTCTACCGCTGGGCTTGGATCACAGAGAAATGAAAACTACGTTTATACAAAAACTTGGACAGGAATGTTTATAGTAGCTTTGTTTGTAATGACCTAAAACTGGTAAAATCGCAGATATTCCTTCCAGGTGAGTGGATAAACAAATTGTAGTACAGACATACCATGGAACACTACTCAGCAACCAAATGGAATGACCTGCTGTTGCATACAACTGGCTAAATCTCCAGAGAATTATGCAGAGCAAAAAAAAAAAAAAAAAAAAAAAAAGCTAACCCCAAAAGGTTACAATACTGTAGTCCTTAGGACTGTATTTATGTAACATTCTTGAAAGGATAAAATTATGGAAATGAAGAATAAATTAGGTGTTAAGGAGGGAGCAAGTGGGAGGGAGGAAAGTGGATACGGTTATAAAAGGGCAACATGAGGAATCGTTGTATGATGTGATTGTTTTGATTTTGACTGTTTCAGTGTGGATATCATGATTGTGATAATGTACTATAGTTTTGGGAAAGATGTTATTATTGGTGGAAACTGGATAAAGCTTAAAGGAGGTCTGCCTGTATTGTTTCTTGCAACTGCATGTGAATCTGCAATTTTTCCAAAATAAAAAATTTAATTCAAAAAACATTTGGGGGTAAAACTGCTTTCACCGTTGACACTTACACTGAATGTGGTGGGAGGATCCTCTTGGTTATCCTAGGATATCCTAGGTCCTATCATGCCAGGACCAGGAGGGGTCAGCTGGATGAACTTTATGAAGCCACCTTCATGTTTGAAGGGCCCCAAACATAATGTTTGTTATCATCTCTGGAGATACGCTGACACGATCAAAGGATGGCAAACACAGCTATCGTGCGAGACATTGCCAGCTCTACCCAGACCCTCTCAGATCCCTGGAGTCATTTCTGCATGGCCCTCTGCTGGCTTCTGTGTGTTTGCTCCTAACCGCCTGCAGAACGACTGACTTTTGTTTCTGAGGACAGCCTCAGGTAAGGGGAGCTGCTGTGAGTCACCAGGAGCCAGAGATGCCTGTGGGTCTCCTTCTCCCCTTCCCTGCCACGAGCACTGGTGCAAGAGTAGGAAATCCCAGCCCTCTTGTGCATCCTGATTAAACTCCAGAGCTCGCTGTGCAGTCAGACTAGCCCGCACATCCCGTGAAAGCACGTGCCTGCTTGGCTTTTCCCTTTTCCTGTCCTTCCTCATTCCCTAACAGCTTTCTCTGGAAAGCCCTTCCTTAGTAAGTCCTATATGTGCACTCAAATTTCTATCCCAGAGTTCACTTTTGGGAACCTAACCCAAGGCAGAAGAACATCAAATAACTTTAGATGGGTGTCCCATTACTGGACTAAGTGTTCAAATACATCAATATTTTTAAGAAATCCTGTAATTTTCAGGCTGCCTGGGTGGCTCAGTCGGTTAAGTGTCAGACTTTGGTTCAGGTCATGATCTCACAGTTCATGAGTTAGAGTCCCATGTCGGGCTCTG